AAATGAGGTTGGCCAAAATCTCAACTATTTAGTCCTAACATTGACTTTCTTAAGAATTTTGACTCACCTTGGGATTGCCGTCCTCAGGTGAACACAGACTCCTTATAAAAACTGAACTGATCCCAACTGCCAAGATTCTCCTGTGTGCACTTTCTACAGACCCCAAGGCCTTAGTGTTCCAATGGAGCAGGGTACTCCAAGGGTGAATGACCCCTGTATTTTCTATTTTCTACACCTTCACATTCATACAGACTTGTCTTCCCATGGCCCTGTGCCTACCTGCAGGTCACCAAGGGCTAAGCTGCAGGGTTATAATTAGCATTCAAAAAAATTTTTTTTTGTACCAGGGATTGAATCCAGGGGTGCTTAACCACCGAGCCACATCCCTAGCCCTTTTAATATTATATTTAGAAATAGGGTCTCAATAAGTTGCTTAGAGCCTCACTAAATTGCTGAAGCTGGCTTTGAACTTGTAATCTTCCTGCCTCAGCCTCCCCAGCCACTGGGATTAGAGGTGTGCACCACCGTGCCTGGTGCATTCAGAAATCTTGGCTTCATGATGTCTCCTCAATCAGAGTGTGGAGAGTTTTTATTCTTTCATTTAACAAATAACATACTGAGTTCCCTCTCTATGCCAAACACACTTTTAGGGCTAAGTGGAGACACCCTAAAAGTAGCTAATAGTCCAAGGTGCTTACTTTCTTGCACTCAGCCTCCTGGCTGGTGTCCAGTGGCATCCTGCTAGGGGCTGGGCACACTTCACATGTCAGCGCATGATATCTGGGGCCTGATGCATGGGGAAACTTACATGTTTAGTGCATAAGTAGATAGCTACTTGGTTCTCCATAAATTCTCAGGGAAAACATTTACCATGAGAAACAAGTGTCAGTTTCTCTGTTTAGTTGTCACCATCTCTAAAGTAGAGTATTTAAAAACAAATGAAGTTTTACCTAGAGAGAGAGAGAGAAAAACAAGGAAGAATTTCCCTATTTTCCATCATGTGTGCAAATAGGTGCCCTTTTGGTGAAAAAGTAAGTCTAAGTTCAAGACGGGAGGCCAGGTCCTGGGTTAGTACAGTGACACAGGGCACACAGATGACCAAACTAGGGACATCAGGATCTCTTTGCTCACATCTCATTCATTCTTCATAGGCCTGCTTAGAGGTACTGATGGAAGAGGTAGGGAGAGAACAGAGGCAGAGTCAGGTAGCCAGGGACAGGACATATAGCCAAGACGGATGAGCATGCGCTATGTGGCAACCTAAAATTCTCTTCATTCTTCAGGGGATCTGGTTTGTCAGTTATAACAATTTGCTACTGTCTGCTTGGACAACCCGGGAAAGACATTGATTTTCATATTTATACGACAGTGCAATTTCTCCCAGTAAAAAGTTAAACCTAAGTTCTTTTTTTTTTTTTTTTTTAGAGAGAGAGAGAGAGAGAGAGAGAGAGAGAGAATTTTTTTAATATTTATTTTTCAGTTCTCGGCGGACACACATCTTTTGTTTGTATGAGGTGCTGAGGATCCAACCCGGGCTGCACGCATGCCAGGCGACTTGAGCCACATCCCCAGACCAACATAAGTTCTTAACTCAAGGAACCTACATGTCCTATATCAGTAAAATAATCTTAATTCAAAACTGAGATTTAACTTGGTAAATTTGGTGTGCCGTAACTGGCTAAGGATGGTGGGCTACAGTGATGCCACGGGTCATACTTGCTGCGTCACTGTCAGGTGCATCAGTGCTTCCAAATTGTCCAGGAGTTTGTAAAGGGTCACATCTTCAACACCACTTTTCTGAGAAGTGGCTCCATGCTGCAAAAGAAGACACTACACACTACACAGGGAGGATGCTCAGCCAGCTGTGAGGCCATCTGGGAAATGAAGCCAATCTGGAATTCCTTCCAGTGTAAACATTCTGACCTTCCTTGGATGTTCTTTGGGGAAGCCTAAATATTGGGGTAAAGATAAAAAGGGTCAGGATTGCCTTGGGGCAGGGGGAGGTTGAAATTTTAAGCCATCTGTTAACTCTTTGAAGTATTGCAAAATGCTATTTTCATATACATATAATTTATATACTATATATATTATCATAAAACACAAATATATATATATAATTTTATATTTATATATATATATATATATATATATATATATATATATATATAATTTGAGAGAGCTGTCAGTTATGGGGAGCTCTGCAGCAGGTCTGATATAAGATTCTATGCATTTGAGTGCAGAAGGGTGTTTCTGGCAAAGGCAAGGCTTAGTGGCTAATACCTTCCCTTTCCTTTCCTTGTCTTGAGTTTTGGAGGTGTGAGGAAACTGGCTAAGGATCTGTTTTGGAGGTGCTAGAGGGGAGTAGGGATGGTGGCAGCTGTCCAGTCCTTACTTCCCTGAATCATAGGCTAAAGTCCCTTCTGTGCCACAGTCAATGTGAACACAATCTTCCAGCTTTTGCCAACCAGCTCTATCCCAGGCTTTTGGGTTTTGAGGATCTGCTGTGGCAGAGACTGTAAGTTGACCACCTCAAAACTCAACATCCACTCTCCCCCTTTTCGGTACAAAATAAACATCCCGTGTTTATCTGAGAAAGCCAAGTACACAACTGGGCTGATGACTTTCCTCTTTTGCAGTTAGATGTGGCCAAGTGACCAGATGTTGACCAATGAAATAAAAGTGGAAAGGTTGAATTATACTTTGGGGAGGTTCTTAATAGAAAGAGAGTGTGATCTTTGACCCTTTATTCTTTCCTGTATGGAAAGCAAATGTAATGACTTGGAGCCATAGCCACCATTTTGGACAATGAGGAAACCATGAGCATGGACCAATTTGAATCATGGAGAGGCAGGTCATTTGCAGAGCTTATTTGGAGGTTCTAGCAGGGGAGTGCAGCTATTTGTATACCCTTGATAGAAGAACGGTCCTCCTCCATCTATTGGGGAAGTTCGTCCTCTTTGGCTGAGCCCACATCTTTGGGAGGGACACCCATGGAGTGGTGAGGGTGGAAGGGGACACCCGCCTGGCCAGCCAGATCAGCTGAATGTTACCCTGGCGATCAATGGAGTGACATCTGTCACAGCCAAATTGCCCTCACATTTTGGACCGAAAAGAAGCCAAATTGCTGGAAGGAACATGGATCACTGATGCACAGGATGCTCCACCAGCCTGGACTGCTATCTCCAGAATTTTTTTTTTTTTTTTTTCAGAAACCTCTGCTTTTAGAAGCCATTTATCCCATGCAGCTGAACATAATTCCAACTGATGAACCTGGGAAAGAGTTGAAATCATGTACACTCTGAAATATTATTATTATTTGGTGTAATAAATCCAGCAGCATACACCTTCAATGCAAGTCACAAGGTCGATAGTTTACCCATTAAGGATTCTGAGAGGCCTCATATGTGGAGGTGGCTTGTCATTGCAACTCCAAACAACCCAGATATGGCCGCTCGCTAGGCATTGGTAAGCATGTCATCCTTAAAGGTGCTGGAAGGCTCAGACATTGTGTTTTATGGTAATTATTAAAATAAAGCAGTGATGTTATAAATCCTTCACAGTATTAGTTTCAGTTGTGAGGATATAAAAGATTTTTAAAAGAATTTACTTTTAGCTAATAAGACATCATTTTTTTGAGTGCCTACTGTGTGCCGGGCACTAAACACTTGCTTAATCTTTATTTTTCGTTGTCAATGGACCTTTATTTTATTTATTTATATGTGGTGCTGAGAATCGAACCCAGTGCCTCACACATGCTAGGCAAGTGCTCTACCATTGAGACAGAACCCCAGCCCGACTTGCCCAATAATTTTTACAATACATATTATTATTACATTTTTCCATTAACAGACGGGCAAAGAGAAAAGAGAGCTGTCTGGTGAGTTTAGTGGCAGGGCCCATGTTACAAAAGACCAGACCAAAACATAGTCTAGGTTAATATTTTTTTTCTAGATAGTTTTGACCATCCTTAACCTCTCTAAATTCTCCAAGGCACAGTGTCAGAATGCTGTTCTTGATCTTATAAATCAGAAGGCTGAAACCTAGAGTGCACTTGCTCATTTTAAGGTCATATCACACAGGTCATCAGAGTATCCAGAGTTTGAACTTGAGGAACGGAGAGCCAAATCCAGGCTCTATAAATCAACTTGGTCTCTTCCTTGACTGTAACTTTACCGTCAAATTGAAAGAGAGAGAGTCACTCAGTGATACTCAGTCTGGGAAAGTTAGACCCTCCTTTGAGTCAAGACAGAGAGACACGCATGCTGTCTATTTTATTCAGAATCAGTTTAATGGCATAAAAATATTCCTTATATGGCTTTACTGTTCCAAAACTCATAAACTTAAAACACAAATATGACAAAATTTAAGAATTATTTTGGCCATCCTCCCCAATCCCAAAGGAGATTAAAAAGTAATAATGTAAAAAAGTTAAGGTCAAGGTGTGTTAAGATGACGGCTGATGCCTACCCATGTGTTTGCTGGTTGGCTCAGCTCACCTGAGAGCTGCCGAGCTTAACTCACCATCCAACAAGGGGTCAGTTATTAGTTCCCTGGGTGTTTGTCCCTGAAGTTAAGCCATGCTCTGGGGACACCGTAGGCACTTTAAGCAGATAGCTATCTGCTTTTCTACCTTTTCTGGGTGGGGTACAATGTTTGGCAATCCAAAGTAGGGTCAAGAATCTGCAGTTGGACAGAGTGCTCCATGCTTGTGTGCCTTTGTTGGCATTTCAGAGCATCCTCATGGACATCTGTGCCAGATGTTCTGGAGACCATGGAGGACTGGCAAGCAGCTATTTAATATCTGCATTTGTTGTGTATGTGGATACAGAAGCCCGCTCTGATTTTTATTTTAGTGTCCTCAATGGTAGCTTATTTACACAGAGTGATGCTCCAAATATTTAGCAGGTGGCATGGCACAATGCTGACCCCTGGAACAGGTGCTGGATGTGAACACCTGGCCAGCTAGCCGTACCCGGGTGTGCTGGCAGAAGGATCAGCTGCACATCCAAGGAGCAAATGCATCTCCACTTGCTCAGCATGACACTAGCTTTCTTGCCTGCACCATTTCCCTCCTCTAATCTGCCTCATCCAAGTCTTCTCCTGCAGTAGCAGCTTCCAATGCCGCGAGGGCTTCTGCCACTGCTGCATCCTCGTCCACCACCTCCCCATCCCTGTTTCCATCAGAACCAGCCGTTTCCTCCTGTTCAATTCTGGAATTGACCACAGGTGTGACAGGACCCTGCTCTTTAAAGTAGACGCTTAGAACTTCTGTGGTCACGGCCTCATTTAATGAGTCCCAGCTTCTCCTCCTGGGGAAGGGCACATTCAAACCGTGCTCGCCCACCCTGGGAAGAATTCCCGCCAGAGGCTCATCCTCCTTGGGGTTCTTGAAAAGATAATCCTTTTCTTCATGACCCACATTGTGTACGGCTGTGCCCCACAGCTGAGGGTAATCCGGGGTTGGTATCTGGAGGTCATGACCTTGTACTTCCAAGGCAAAACTTTCCACCTTAGAAGGAACTTCAAAGTCCCCACTTTGGACGACTTGGGTCTTTTCCAAGGCTGGCAGCACACAGTCCTGTTTCCTGGTGTCCCCTCCTTCAAGGAAGGGTTGAGTGGGGTGCACACTGTCTGTAGGACTGGCCCTGGAGCCCGTGTCCCTCTGGTGGGACCTGGGGTTCCTGGTGGGCTGCAGAGCTGCAGTGGGGCCCATGCCGTTGACCGCACTGCCAGGCTTCTCCTCCCAGCGTCCACCTCCTGCATCCTCCTGTGGGAGCGGCTCTTGGTGAGGCCAGCAGGGCTCTTGGGGACCCGCTCTCTGGCCTCTACCCTCCGTCCTCTTGAAGCCCTCACTTGCAAGGACATTTTTATGCACCAGGATCTCGCTGCTCTGATTGCTTTTTAATTTCACAGGGTCTTCTTCATCCAACTTGCAGCTGCTGACTTCATTGATGTAGCCCGGGGAGGCCACTGGAACAGGATCGAAGAGATAGCTGGGGGCGAAAAGAGCGGAATCAGTCAGTTTGTACCCAAACAGAGGAGTGGGGCGTGAACTAGTTCTTCTGATTATGCTTTTAACCCTAGATAAGTGGGTCTAACTCTAATAGATATAGTTGGTATAAAAATATGCTACCCTTAGCAGGAAAGTTTAACCAGAGGTCCCGAAGGGGGCGAGTGGTAGACTACAAAGTGATTTGTGAAATTTTAAAATAAAAAAGTAGATACAACAGGGGCTGGGGTTGTAGCTCAGTGGTAGAGCGCTTGCCTCACACATGTGAGGCACTGGGTTCTATTCTCAGCACCACATAAAAATAAATAAAATAAGTAAAGATATTGTGTCCATTTTTTTAAAAAAATCTTTTTAAAAAAAGTAGATACAACAAATGTCCACAAATCAGATATAAGGGGTTAAGTATCTTATTGATGGTTTATCTCCCTGATGGGATTTTAAGTAGTCATTAAAATGATAAGTATGAAGATTATAGTGGCATTAAAAAAAAACAACTTTGTTCCTCAGGGTCTACTGGGGGAGTGGTTCCAGGACCCCCCTGGATACCAAAATCCTTGGATGCTCTTCTCCCATATAAAATGGTATTATATTTGCTTCTGGCCTACATTTGCATGTGGTCTCCCTTTTACTTCAAATCACCTCAAGATTACTTATTATTCCTAACACAACATAAATGCTATGCAGATAGTTTTGACTAGACTTTTTAGGAAATAACAAGAAAAAAGTCTGCACAGTTCAGTATAGATGTCATTTTTTTCTGAATATTTTTGATGAGTGGTTGGTTGACTCTGGGGGCATAGAAGCCAGGAATGTGGAGGACTGACTGGACTTGTAATAAATATTTTTAAAAAATTCCAAACATCCAATAATGACAGAGGAGTCAAATTTATATGTGTTTGGAATTGAGCAAAAGCAGTGTTATTTGTTAAGGAAGCAAGATCTTCATTTAATTTGTTCCCTCTGACAGTTAATATTACACAAAAATTTATGAAATGTATTATGAACAAAATTATAGGCACCTTGTGGGTCTGGGGGATTCATTTTTAGTGATGCTGTTTCAGGTATCCTCTGAAACTCAAGCTTTCTTTTATTGACATTCTCTCATGTCAGTTGAGCCCAAACCAAATTTAAGTCTCAGAGAATGATGATGTTCCCAGCATGTTTTGAGCAGTGAGCAAGAAAAGCTTAAAAATCTAGGCCATATTTCCTCTAAATGACACTCAAAGAGAGCCTTACACGTGTGAGGCATTGACAATGTTGATCACGCCCCAAGGCACTGAATACATGCATGTTCTTTATTTTCATTATTTTTGAATTGATGTTATATAACATGGTTTTTGAAAGCAGCTTCACGATGATCAAAAATCCCTCCATTTAGAAGAAGTCTTTGTTCAACTTTACCTTTGTATCATTTTACAGCACCTGCACCCCATCTGGATTATTTTTTTGTTACCATCTGGAAAAGAAAGTGTAGAAGGGAGAGAACGTTATGAACGATACGTGAGTAGGAATAAGTTTGTTTGTCCTTCTTAGATGCTCAAAATTTAAAAAGTTGAAAATCGTGGCAAAACCATAACACATTGATGAGGGAAGGCGCTGGTTCCTCAGAGTAACTCCATGTCTCAGAAATCACCCATTCAAAGTTCTCAGACGGTGCTAACACTTGCCTCTGTGCCTGACCCTTTCCCAACACCATGAGTTATCCATTCCATTCCCGCTTTACAGATGAGGAACATGTGCACGGAACAATGCCACAGAGAGGAGGGACCTGTGTCTTTGTCTAGTCCAGTGCCTTTTATGGAGGACACAAGAATCTTACTGGGGCAAAGCCCACTGTGCAGAAATAGGAGGCAGAAGAGGTTTTGAGAGGGCTCCTTGCCAGAGGTCAGTTCCTCTAGCATGAAAGGGTGCTGTAGTAGTTTGGATCTTTTTTTTGGGGGGGGGGTATAGTATAGGAATGGAACTCATGGGCACTTGACCACTGAGCCACATCCCCATCCCTATTTTGTATTTTATTTAGAGTCAGGGTCTCACTGAGATGCTGAGTGCCTCGCTTTTGCTGAGGCTGGCTTTGAACTTGTTATCCTCCTGCCTCAGCCTCCTGAATTGCTGAGATGACAAGGCATGCACCACCATGCCTGGCTAATAGTTTGGATCTTAAATGGCTCCCAGAGGCCCATCACGAAAGCTTTAGATGGGTCCTAGAGGGAAGAAGTTAGGTCCTTGGGGGGTGTGGCATTAAAGAGTGAGTTGGGTCCCTGGATCCTCTTCCTCCACTCTTGCTTTCTGTCCTGTGAGGTGAACAGTCCTCCTCTACAGCTCATTGGGACATCCCAGCTGTGATTCATGACTCTATTCTTTCTCAGGTCATAGACATTCCCCCTGGGGCTTCCTGGTAAAACTGGACTTGTTGCCCACTGGCCCACTGTCCCTAGCCCCTTCCCAAGCTGGATTCACTCCATCTTTTCCCTCTGAACCAAATTTTCTCTTCATGTAAAACTGGCTATTTTGGTCTGCTCCGAAAACCCTAAAAATCAGTGCTCAAGGATCTCTAAGTCCGTCTTCATTTCCAATATCCACAGCCTTCGGACAGCACCACCACAGCCCCAGGCCCTGGTCTTTAAAGACACACTCACTAGGAAGAGGGCTCATTTGTGGGCTGGCGCTGCCTCCCTGGTCTTTCTCCTCCCTCTTTCAGTTATGGATGGATTCCTGAGGATGCTATAGCACAAACCTTTGCATCAAAAGACATTTTTAAAAGAATTTTAATTTTTAAGAAGCATAGATTGGTTGGTTGGTCACAGGGAACTAGATTACTGCACTGAAAAATCAAATCCATAAACACCGTCCTGTAGTAGGGTGAAAACCGTTTCCCTGAAAGATATCCGCATCCCCATTCCTGGAGTATGGGAATGTTACCTTTCATGGCAAAAAAAAAAAAAAAAAAAAAAAGTCTTTGCTGATGTGCTGAAGTTATGAATCTTGAGATGTAGAAACTTGCTCAATGAGCTGGGTGGACTCAAAAGACAATTACAAATGCTTTTGAGAGGAAGGTGGGGCTTTGGTCACAGAGACAAGGAACAAATTCACTCTGGAACCTCAGAAAGAGTGTGGCCCTTGATTTCAGCCCAGTGATACCAATTTCAAGACTTCTGGCTGCTCTAGTACTGCGAGTTCATTCCAGCATGAGGATGAACTTCTGTTGCTTTTAACCCTCTCATCTTTTAGTAACTTTTCCAAGTATCCAGAAAACTACCACATACCCAAGTCAGTGTGTTCTTGAGCACAGAATCCCTTGCGGAAGTCTTCTTGGGAAGGCTAACAGATCTATAAAAGAGTTCCCTGGGCCACCTGCCCCCCATTTCTTGTCACCCTGATTGTCTTTCTGATTGTCCTTCATTTTTCTTCCCAGCGTGTCCAATGCTACTACTGGACATTTTGTTATAGATGTGATTCTGATCCATCTTTTCAGGAGGAAATTAGCTCAATGAGAGAAGGGCTTTCTCATGCCCAATCCCTTAGCACTTAGGATAGCATCTCACATTCTGGGGACAGTTAGTAAACATTTGGGTTTCTAATGGATGTAGCTTAAAATGGAGAGCAAGACTTGTAAGCATTTTGTTTCTCTATGACCAATGGAGACATTTTCAGTTTGTGCCAACCATGTCACTCAGGAGTTATGAGGGCAAGCTCTGGAGAAAGAAAACCTGGTTCCCAGCCCAGCTTTGCTCCCTACTCACTGTGTAACTTTGGGTCTCAGTCACTTCATCTGTAAATGGGGGTAACAGTACACCTGCCCGCGGTGTTGTTGGGGGATACATAAATTCGTAGTCAGAATAAGCAAGGACCAGTATATTACCTAGCCTTGTATGGATACAGCATATTCAGCAACTTTAAAAACATGCAAGCCTTGTCCCCATGCAAGATGTGACTCAGCTGCTGTGACATATGCATACAAGCTACAGCATCAACACTGCTTCTGGAATGAGGGCCAAGTGATACCTATCTATCAACTGTGACACTATTTGAAAGACATGAACCTTAAGTGTGAAGATGATTGTGGTTGCAGAGAGAGAGAAATCACCGGGGAGCTGAGCTAGGAATATATGTGTACAACCTTGCACTTTTCCAGAGCACTCTCAATTAAATTACCCATTTTCAAAGCCTGAGGCTGTGTTCCCAGCTGCAGCCCCCCGCACCCCCCCATGTCCCTATTTCCTGCTAGTAATTCACAGCTCACCTGGATAAACAGGACAGATTAAAAAGTAACACTTGCATCTCTTTCCCTCCCCCAACTCCTCCCCTTCTCTACTCCTGCCCTCCAGCTCCACAACCAGCTCTGAATTCCCAACCTTTTCCAAGTACCTTTGTTTGTCTTGGACCTAATTAATTAATTAATTAATTATTATTTTTAAAGGCAGGAGGATAGCTAGTAAAGAAAAGTTCAAAGAAAAGGAAAGAGGGGACTTAGATAATTGGAGACTGTGGATTGTAATCATGTGACTAAAGCAATCATAAAATATTAATCATAAAATATCAATCATAAAATATTAATAGTAGTGGGTTCAAAAGCTATACCTGGGGAAGAAAGGAAGGAGGGAGGGAGGGCAGGAGAGGAGAAGGGAGGGCAGGCCAGGTGGAGGGAGGGCAGGAGAGGAGGGGAGGGGGCAGCGCATCTTGAACCACATCTGGCTCACCCCCATTCCCAGCTCCCTAGAGGCTGAGCAAGATGGACCTGGGAACTAGAGAGCCCCGAGTTAGAAAGTCTATTCCCCACTTTCTGCTGCTGAGGCCTAGGCCATAGAGCAACTTGCACCAAAATATGCTGCTAGGATTTAACAGCCTAATTTAAAACCCACCTCTTCCCACCTCTTCTTATCATTACCTATGGCTTTCAGGCTCCCTCCTACCTTGGAAAACCACAAGGTCTGTATTGCTTTTCGAAGCCATGCAATCCTAAGCCATGCAATCCCAAGTTTTCCTCCTTTCAGGGTCAGTTTCAGTCTGGTTTCTCCCCCAACCCAGGGCATACCACATGGGCTTCCTGCAGACCTGCTCCATACCTGCGGGCCATGCTTCTGTGCCTTTGCAGCTCGGTGGGGACAGCCTCTTCCTGGTTCCAGTTTCTGCCCTCTCTTACCACCCCGTGTTTTCCTTCCCCAGAGACATTCCTTCTCTCCACAGGCTTTAACGTCCAAGGTTGTGTGACCAGCTGGTGAGCAGGGTGGGGACTAATGTATTCACACCCGGCCCCAGCATGCCCGTATCTACAATCATTCTTCCTTATACGATGTGTCAAATCAAATTCAATTCATTTCCCCTTTCATACGTCACTCCTACATCCACATCTTCCTTTTAGCAAGACGTTTTCCTACTTCCAGGTGCAATATACTCCTCATCCTACCTGAGAACACGGTGGTGGCAAAAATACCCACTCCTTTGAAGTAAGCTTGAGCCCCAAAGGACCCATTGTGAGCTTCCTACTCTGCTCTCCTTGTAGCAACGGCTAGCCTAAAGTTAAGAACGGAGTTGTTGGGCGCCCTTTATTGCTAAGTAGAATCAAAATTTGCTTTCTCTTTGGGAAAGCAACAGGGAAGCAAAGGGCAAATCCTTCGCAATCATCGCTTGGTTTACACAGGGGAAAAACAAACACCATTAGGGTGACTGTGTCTGTGGGCTGCTGGCGCCCGCCTGCTCCTGGAGTGCAGGGTGGTGGTGGGGGTGACTCTTTCCTGAATATTTGGCTGAAATGAAATAGTCCTGTGTTTGAAGATGGCCACGCTAATTCACATCAGTTACTTATGGAGCCTCCTGGTAGGAAAATCCTGTTTTGCAATGGGGACATTGGGGGAGAGACCAGGGAGAACCAGAAATTTTCTAACCAGGCAGAGGAATTGCTTGAGTATTCATCAGGAAGTCAAGGAATATAGAAAAAGGCTCAACCCACCCGGAAAGAGCTACTTTTAAATAGTGATCTTGAAGAATGACAGGGTCAAGGTAAAAGGATCCGAGAGTCAGCTCATGGGCTTCTACTGGCCATGTCTGGAACCATTAGAGCATCAAAATCAATACTACTAATATAAAGGACTACAGCCCGTTGAATGATTCACAAGGGCACTGAGATGAGTAGAAATGGGGGAAGGGAAAGCTTTACAAGTAGAAAATCAGCCAACAAGCATACAAGGAAGAAAGGACTAGAACAACTACCATTCGATGATCATCATCGTAATAACTGATGAAAGTAAGAACCACGGATGGACACGGGGACTAGTGGGTGAAAGTTTGAGAACAGGATGTTCAGTCTCAAAGGCTCTCCTTGCCCATGCGCAAGGCTGCAATGGTATCTCTGCCATGGATTGAGACAACTGTCAGTACTCTGCTTAGTGCTCCTTAACAAAGTCATGTTGGCTGAGCGTGGACCTCAGTGGTAGAGCTCTTTCTTACCATGTGTGAGGC